TCCTTTTTGAGCCATCTTCTTTGGCATATTCCACTTGTTTGCCTACCAGGCTGTCCACAACTTCTCCTGGTTCCCTTTCTGCTGGAGGTGAATCATCTATAATTTTAAGAAAAAAATTTAAATCAATTTTTAGATATATACCAATTCCCATGCTTTCCTTAATACTTACAAATTTTAAACATCCTGAATTCATCATTGATTAGCTAATGTACTGGTTGGCCAACTTTTTCTTAAAGGGCCAGAACAGTAGAAGTTCTAGATTTTAGGGCCACATGGTCTCTGTCCCAACAACTCAACTCTGCAAGTGCAGGATGAAAGCAGCACAGCAAAATGCAGAAATTAATGCATGTGGGGTGTTTCAATAAAACATCATTTACAAAACAGTCTGAAAACCTCTGATCTAGGGAAAAATGGGATTAAAAAAAAAAAAAAGCAAGCAATTCACTTGGTTTCTATTAAAACAAGCCTGTAATTATCTAAAAATAAGTTCGATTTTCAAATAGAATTTCAAAGCAAACAATTCCTACAGGGGATGACTGAAAATATATTACTCACTTAAAATGCCTAGTGGTACTGATCGAAGTAAAGGCCTCACATTTCACAATTTAAATACTGCAAAGTAATACAATCAAAATAGTGTCATTATTGCATAAATGACAGACCTACAGAACAGAATTGAGAATCCAGAAATACACTGTGATAACCAGTCAACTTATTCTCATCAATGGTGTCAAAACTTCTATGACAGAAAGAACAATCTTCAATAACCGATGCCAAGATAACTGGGCAGCCACAAATAAAAGAATGAAGTTTAACCTTAGCATATAAGCAAAAATTAATTCAACATATGTAAAACTTTTTGTTGTTGTTCTTTTTGAAACAAGATATTGCTATGAAGTTCAGGATGGCCTTAAGCTTACTCTGTAGCCAAGACTGGCTTTAACTCAGGACGATACACCTGCCTCAATCTCCTGAGTGCTGGGACTACAAACACGTGCCACCACACCCAGCTGTATAAAACTCTCAGGAGACAACACAGGGGTAAATCTTCAAGTATCTGGCAAGAGATTCTTAGATATGATAAAAGCACATGCAACAAGAAAAAACAGAATAGAAACTTTTGTGACTCAAAGAACATCATTAAGGAAGTGAAAACACAATCCACAGAATGGGAAAAAAATTCTGACAATGGACTTATGTCTAGAATATTGACTATAAGAACACAACCTAATAATAAAAATGAGCAGAGGATCTGAACGGGCACTTCCCAAAGACACATTAAGTAGCCAATAAACACATGAAAAGATTCTTCTGACGTTAGTCATTAGGGAAACACAAGTCAAAAGGACAATGAAACAGCACTTCATTCTTACTGATAGGACAGCTAGGATCAGATAATACCAAGTGCTACTGAGGATGTAGAGAAAGCAAGACCCAAACATGCTGCTAACAGGAATGCAGAATGGTGCTGCCATTTTGAAAATTAGTTACTATACTGGAGTTAGCTATGACCCAGCAATTCCATTCCTAGACACATACTCAGGAAAATTAAAACAAAAACATCACACATAAACTTGTACATATATATTTGAAGAAATAATGTTCATAAACAAAGGGTAGAAATAACCCAAATACCGTAAGTGGATAAATGCATTAAAAAAATGTAGTAGTCTGTACAATGGAATATTTAATCACTAAAAAGAATGTTACATGCTACATGGATGAATTCTGAAACCATGCTCAGTGAAAACAAAGTCACAAAGGACCCCATATTATGCAATTCATTCATACACAAGTCCACAATAGGAAAATCATTATTGGTTGCTTAAGGCTGTGAGGAAGCAGTAAGGGGTATAACGGAATGATGGTTGAAAAGGTATTCCTTTTGAAGTGATGAAAACATTCTGTAACTGACCACCTTGAGGATTGTGCATCTTATATAGTTAACTATATGCTACAGGAATCATATCACAGTGAAACAATTTCATTTTTTAAACCACTCTTGATAATGACCTGAGATTACTTATGGAAAGTTATATAGACTACCTATGTACCACTGAAAAGTCCTCTGATTAAGCTTTTCCGATATCAGTATTCTCTAAAGTTCAAATATGTGTTCATTTTACAAATAAAATGATCAACCTGTAGATGAGCTTCAAAATAATTCAGCTGAAGAGCAGTTAGAACAAGACTGACAATGAGCTAACAGCTGTCAAGGATGAATGGAACAGATTTATTTTGTTGTTCCCATTCCTTCAAATTCTTCTGAGTAACAAACAATAATATTAATAAATTTTAAAATAACCTTCATTACATTATTGGAGTGAAGGAAAAATTATCAAACTTTTCTCATCTAAAACTTAACAAGAGTTAAACTGGTAGAGTCTTTGTACATGGCTAAAAGAATCATATATCCAAAATTTAATAGTGTATCTGGCAAAACAGTTGATTTAAGTATCATAAAATCCAAATTCCTCTTGAATTATTAACATAGAAAGTTGCTAATATATACTTACTAGAATCGGGCATGATGCGAAGGTCACCTTCTTTATAGTCATCTAAGAGCTGGTACATGTACAAGACAGGGTCTTTCTCATAAGTGATGTAAAACCATGTGTTCATGACAGGTGCCCGTGCTAAGACCATGCCCCTCCATTCATCTTTAGAGCCATCCTCTGTCTCAAACATATGTTCCACCGCTTTACCAATCATTGTGTCTGCTAAATGTGCATCGCTGATTCGAGATGTTGCTGAAGATTTAAAAGAAACAACAAAACAAAACAAGGTTGAAATGTGTTTCAGGGACCAGGGAGACAGCTCAGTGGCATAAGCACCTGCCTGATAAGCAGAGGGTCCTGAGTGCGATACCCAGTACTAAATAAATAAATAAATAAATGAAATAACTTGAAAAAAGAAAAAGTGTTTCACTGAATACTTTCTATGAAGAATGGACTTAGTAAAGGAGACTAGTTAAATTATGTCCATGTATTGTATTGGGGCTTTGAGAACCATAACCACCACATGCAAGCTATTAGGCCACAACTCAGAATTGGACTTCAGCTCAAATCAGCTAGTTGAGAAATCTGTTTATATTTTTATTTCTCTGGAGCCTTTTGCTCTTGGTATAGTACCTAAATTTAATTTACAACTTTTAATTGATCATTCAAGATACACAGAAATTTTTTGCTACTGTTTAAAGTGTAGAGGTAATTTCAGTCTTAAGAGTACTAAAAACCAGAAGAGTTCCTGTGTAGAGTTCATCTTGCTTTCCTTTATGTTAATATCTTACACAACCACGTAACATTTATTAAAACATTTATTAGGAAATTATTGCTTCTCAGCCTTTTGGCTAAGATAAAGTGAAAACTAAGAAATTTACCTGTTCATGGTGTATGTGGTTTCTGTTGTTGCTTTAAAAGAAACAGGTTTATTTATCATCAACCTTACTTCTATAGTCTATTAAACAGGCACACTTTTTACTCTTGCCCAGATTCCTACCATATTTGCATGAGATGTATAATTTAAAATGTCCTCCTAAATAGTTTTAAAAGCTCCTCCCCATGCAGGCAAGCTGTCCTCTGCCTGGGTGGAGTGTGTGTGTGTGTGTGTGTGTGTGTGTGTGTGTGTGTGCGCACTCCTCTAGCAGCAAGTTCCTAGTGAGGGCTCTCCATGGGTACCTGGGCAAAACAGTGCTACCTCTCCTACTTAGTTAACATTAGCACTGTCCAAAAGTTAATTTGCATATGTATTTGTCTACCTGTTTAAGGCCTGCACATCCCAGGAAAGCAGATGCTTCTATTTGTAGTACTTAGACACAATCCAGTATCTGCTGCTGGGTTTAATCAGAAGGCTGGTGTGATCCAAAAGCACAGGTCTCATTAATGGTACAAGAGATAGCTTTAGCCTTACGTTTTTACCTTTTCAAAAATAGATAAAAGTGCTGGGGAGATAGCTCAGTAGAATAAGTGCCTGCTTGGCAACTGCAGGGTCCTAAATTCAATTCCTGGTATCGCAAAAAAGGCCAGCCCAATAGCTCAGCAGATTAAATCACCTGCTCAGGCAGACACAGGGGCAGGGGTTCAATCACCACCCCCACCCCCCACCCCCGCATGCCTGACCTGCAGGCCCTGCCCCTAGGGCCCACTGAGACAGCCATTGAGACATGGTGGTGTAGTTCTGTAATCCCAGCACTTGAGAGGTTGTAAACAGGAGGATCAATGTAAATCTGATCTACCCAATGAGACCCTATAGACCCTGTCCTAAAATACAAAACACACACAAAAAAAGATAAAAGACAGAGTTGGTGGCATATGCCTAGAATCTCAACACTTGAGAGGCAAAGATGAGAGGATCACGAAGTCTGACACTACTCAGAGCAACTTTGTGAGATCCTGTTTCAAAAAATAAGAAAAACCGGGGCTGGGGAGATGGCGCAGTGGAATAAGCACTTCCCTGGCAAGCGCAAGGGCTGAGTTCAATCCCTGGTTCCACCAAAAAAAAAAAAAAAAAAAAGAAAAGATAAATAAATAATAATAAGGAAAATAAATAATAATAAAAACAAGGGCTCAGAATATAGCTCTGTGATACATATCTCCTGGTTTTGATGCTCAATACTACAAAGAAGAATCTTAAAATAGATTAGCACTCCTATTTTTACTAATGCGTCAGGCTTTTATCTGCTAAATAAAACAAAGTTAGATTTTTTAAATAAATACACTGCTGCTGTTCAATTTAATCAGGATTCCCAAACAATTCCTCTTTGCCTGATACTAAAATAAACATTGGGGCTCTCATTTTAGCACATCTTAGACTACTGGATCTCACAACTTCTTTAATTGTTGAAATAATGTACTGAAGACCTAAAAGTGTGTTTATTTATGTGACTTGACTGTCAGTATTTGCTACTTTAAAAAGTAGAGCTGGGGAGATATCTCAGTAGAATAAGCGCTTGCCTGACAAGCTCAAGGTTCTGAGTTCAATCCCCAGTACCGCCAAAAAACAAATAAATAAAAATTAATTTAAAAATATTTAAATTCTTACATAATAATGCACTTGAATTTAAAAATAAAGCCATGCACACATACAGGCACCCATCTGCAATCTCTAGCACTTTGGGAGGCTGAAAAAGGAGGATTTCAAGTTTGAGTCTGGCCTGAGTGAAGTACAGACTTTGCAAGAAACTTAAAACTGGGGGGAGGAGGGAGGACAAACCTCAAAATTTAGGGCTGGCTAGATAGCTCAGCGGACTAAAGCGCCTGCTTAGGCAGAGCGCAGGGGCCGGGGATCCATCCTGGCACCACAGGCCCGGGGCACACTGAGACAGATTCAAACTGGGCATGGTGGTGCACACCTGTAATCACCATGAGTCTGATCTACATAATGAGATCCTGTATTAAATATATTTAAAAATAAAAATCTCAAAATTTAAAACAAGGCAAGTATTTTTTTTTTTAAAAGGAAAATAATTTAAAACTGGAATATGCCAGGGAATACTGGAGATGTAGCTTACACTAAAGCTCCTGGGTTGACAACCCATGATATCAATATTCTCTAACCAAAATTTATTAAGAGTGGCATAATTTTACATTTTAGCAAATCATTTTAGCTTTAATAGAACAATTTGATTCTCTTATCTGCTTCAGCTTTTAACTTATTACATTTTTAAATTTGACATCAGCTTCTCAAAGATATGCTGATATTCTTTTAGGTAAGTCTAAACAGTCTTCTATAAGGCTGAATCAAAAGTCAACAACTAGCAGCTCTCTGAAAATTAGCTGCAATGCAGATTCTGAAACAACTACCAATAAACTGGACATACATTTACATTAAAGCCTGTGTCTACAGAACAAAGAACTTCAACAGCTGAACAACAAAATAGCCCAATTTAAACAATAATCAAAAGATCTAAAGGAGGGCTGGCCAAATAGCTCAGCAGACTAAAGCATCTGCTTACGCAGATGAAGGGGCCAGGAGTTCGATCTAGGCAGGGGTGCACTGAGGCAATTGAGACTGGGTGTGGTGGCACACACCTGTAATTCCAGCACTTGGGAGGCTGTAAACAGGGGGAATCACAAGAGTCTAATATACACTGTGAGACTCTGTACACCCTGTCCTAAATTAAAAAAAAAAAAAAAAAAAATTTGGAGAGTTACTTCTCCAAAAGAGATATACATACATAAGGCTAACAATCACCTGAAAGATGCTCAACATAATTGTGCTTGAAATCCACAAGGTATCACTTCACACCCATTAGGATAATTATCATCAAAAAAAGAGGATGAGAAGGAGGAAGAGGAAAACAAGAAGAAAAATTCTAGCAGGGTTGGAGAACTAGAACCCTTGTGCACTGTTGGGACTGTAAGAAAACTATTAGGGAGGTGGCTGAGGGTCAAACTTTAGGCAAGCACTCACCAGTGAGCTGTATTACTTACTAATGGGTCTTAAAATGGTGCAACTGCAGAGAAAGAGTATGACAGGTCCATTTACAAAATTCAAATTAGAATTAATATATCCCATTTCCAGGTATATATATTCCAAAGAATAGAAGGAGGCTTTTAAGTACCTGAATATCCATGCTCATACAAGCACGACTATAATTTCACATACTAACAGGAAGTGAAGACAACTCAAATGTCTGTCAGTACTTAAGTAGGAAAACAAAATGTGGTACACTATTTTCAGACTACAAAGGAAATTCTATGCTTATTAGTAAAATAAGCCTTAAGCACATTATGCTCAGGGAAATAAGCCAGTCACTAAAAGACACATAGTACATGAGATACCTAGAGTAGCCAAATTCATTGTAGAGACAGAAAATATACAAGGTGACTGACAGAAAAATATATACTTTGAAATGCTTAAAATACTATTATTATGTTTTTTAAAAACAACTATTTAAGAAAACTGTCAAGTCTTCTCAGATGTGATGGTAAACATCTAGTCCTAGCTCTTGGACGGCAGAGGCAGAAGGCTCACCACAAGTTTAAGACCAGCCTAAACTATACAGGGAGAGCCCCGCTTGAAAAGCAAAATAAAACATAAAAAGTAAGTCTTGCCCTCTGAACGGATCTTTGCTGAGTGTATAATTTATATCATCACATACTGCTCACAGTGAGTCTGCTGAGTTAAACAGATCTTCCAAGAGTTAGATGTGGGCAACTCCACTGTGCAACTATCAAAGAATAAAAATAAAGAGAGCAAGTTATATCAATGTTATCAAAATAATTCTGACCTTGCAAACCTCCTGTATGGCCTTCAGAAAGCTCAAAGGTCCCCAGGCCTTCTCTTGGAAAACACTGCTCTACCATCAAACAATCAGACAATTTATTCTTTTTTCTCTAACATTAGCTTAAAGAAAATATACCTACAGTTCAGTACACTGCCTGAAGCAATACATGGAAGACTGTATTCTTCCTACACAACATAAATAGGGGACAAATAATCTGTAGCCTCACCCATCACTATGAATACTACCATCAACAGCATCCATCAACTGAACTGGCACATATGTTACCAATGTGCACACTGGCTTTTGGATCCCTCTTTCCAAGCTACATTATTGGCAGTTAGTTATAGGGATCCATGACTATTGGTAGAAATTGGGATAATGCCAAAAAACCACTGACCCTATTATCAGAGATACTTGTCTGTATCTGTCCTAAGGTGACAAAAGAATTTAAGCAATATGTAGGAAAGTTCAGCAATATGTAGGAAAGTTCAAGTGAGCTAGTAGTTTTGCCCTAAAAGGAGTAAAGACTAACATTTTAGGTCAGCTGGATGGATATATACGATAATTATTTAGCACAAATAAATAACTTTAGTATTTGGGTAATTTTTAAGTTCTGCAAGTAAGTGTCTTAAATAAGTTAACATTTTAAACTTTCAACATGGATTAATGTCAAGATGAGGAAAATACAGGATGTACACACAAGAGAAAGAACAAGAGTATAGTCACACAATCACTTGGGAAACTGATGTAGGAAAAACAGATCAAGGATAGGCTGGGGAATTTAATGAAACCCTATCTTAAAATTTTATTTACTTTAAAAAAAAAATGTATTTGGTGCAGGATCTCACTACACAGCTCAGACTCACAGTGATCCTCCTGTTTTTAGCCTCCCCAGCACTGGGATTACAGGTGTACACCACCGTGCCCACTCCTGGTAGCTGGCTCAGCATGCGGGGGGAGGGGGGTACAGTGGGACATGTAGTGTGGGGATCCAACCCCGGTCCCTGTGTTTGCCTAAGCAGGCGCTAAGCTACCTCGCCAGCTCGCCTCACTTAAAATTTTAAGAGGTCAGGGAACATAGTTCATCAGTAGAACACTTGCATAATATGCATGGTCAAGCCCTTGGGTTCAGTTCCCAGGTACCACAAAAACCAAAAACCAAAAGCACAGCAAACAAACCAAAAAAGTAAAAGATTCATCATTTGCTATCTAAAGGGAAGATTCACAAATTAATTTGCTGTTCTGGCAAAGTTATTAACTTGTCAGAGAAGAAACTTTTTCCAAGAATACAAAGACACAGTCTGAAGAAAATAGAGGGAGTTAAAATTTCTCTGACAGTCTGATTCTCAAACTCTGGCTCTTTAATTCTAGATCTCCTGAAGGTTTTTTTTTTTGGTTTTTTAACAGGATAGGCCTGACAATCCAAATGCATAAACCTGTATTTTCAGCATTACTTTAATAAACATTTTAAAATAAATATCCTTAAGAAAGTAATATTAACTTGGGAATACCCACCTTATTTAAAAATAAAATCATTTAATTTATACCTTCCTGCCTTAAGGAAGATTTGCAAGGCAAAACTGGTAATTTGTGATATAAAATAAAAAACATTCATTTCCACTACCACTGCTCAAATGCACATAATAAAAAGCCCATATTCTGGCTTCTTACATTTAGCTCAAAGAACAGAAAATTTATGTAATGTATACAGACCCAATCCACATCGATTCTGAAATAAACAAAAAATTTTTCCTAGTCAATGTACCTGATAAAAGCAACAGAGTATATTTGACTAATGATAATAACCTTACCTATCGGAGTCCAGAAAATACTAAGCAAAAATGTTATAAACCATGTGAGGACCTATTAGTTGTAAATTTCTTGAGTAAACATTTTATACATCTTTATATCCATCAGAATTTCTTGAACTGTGCTTTCAGAACACACGCTTTGGATCACCTTTTGGGACTCTAGATAACTAATTTAAAGGTTTATCAGGAGTCCTTGATTTCCAAAAGAATAAATACCAACATTTTTTTTAAAGCACCCATTTCTTATCACTTTTAAAGCAATAACGTACGAATAATAAAAAGAACTTACCAACTCTATCAGGGAGGACTTCGAGTGCAGAAACTCTTTCATCTTTATTAAGTTCTAGTCCATAAACACAGTCAAATCCATCGTATTTTATAAGATACAAAGAAGGATTTACGGGCACCTGGTCCAGGACAGTCCCCTTCCACTGGGTGACAGGGCCATTGCCCTCTCTCCACCCATG